CTCTTGTTTTTTTTTTACCATTGTCGCCGCGCTTGTTGGATTACCGCTCGTAGAGACCGTGTAAATGGGACGCGAGTGGGTCTTTTTATTAATCTTTATAAGCTTCCGAGTCGAGAGAAATGAAATTATACACGTACGCGCTCGAGATTCTGATTTCTAGAGAGAAACCTGTGTAATTTTTCATAATTATCGCAAGATGTTTTTTTTTTTCGCGTGTTTAAACATATCAATGCAAATTCTATTCAAGGAAGAGCTCCATACGTAAGTCTCGCAGATACGCAGCCACTTTTTTTAAATTTCAACAAAGAATTCTTCGCATAATATACGACCTTTTTTTCCCTCCCCCCTCTCTCCCATTGTGCCGCGGGATATAAACTCGGGGGGGTAATCTTAAATAAAAATACAACGGACTCTTTTTATAATTAGACGCAAAAGTGGAAAAGTTGTGCTCTTTATCTGTAATTTACACTCAGCGGAGGTAATAAAGTGCTGAATTTTTACCAGCATTCCGCGGGAATCCCTTAAATCCGTGCGGAACATTTTGAAGAGCGCGAAAGAGAGAGAGAGAGAGAGAGAAAAAGAGAGAGGAACTTTACACGATAGCGGCATTTAACGAGCTGGTTGCGAACATTTTTCGTTGTTACACAAATGTGTACGACGGTTGCGTACAACAACGCGGCGCGATTCCGTCCGAAAACTAAACTTTCAAGCCGCAATGTACTTTTTCCAAAGCAGTGGGACGGGGGAGGGGGGAAAAAAACCGGAACTTATATCCTCCGAAATCCCCGCTGCGTTATTGTCAACGAGCGAGCGGAATACATGGACTTTACACTACTTCCTCTCTGAAACTTGATATCTTTTCATATAACGTGGCTCTCTATGGTATCAAACGTGCCCTCGTGAGAGATTATTTTGCAGCAACTCCCTTCTCCCCCCCCCCCGTTGACAATGTATTCTCTCTCAACACTTTTACAAAAATAAATTTTTCACAGAATATATTTCAAATCAAATATAACATATGTATTTTTCGTAACTCGCGTAAAACCTTTCGGTTTTTTTTTTTAATATTTTGCTTTAAAACATAAAATGTGTGTGTGTGTGTAACTTGTATTTTTTGAAATTAAATCTTTTTAACATGCGCATTTTTGAAACTCGATCGAGGAAAGAGAATAATCCGATTTTTTTTCATTCCGCAAAAGTTCAAGCCACGCTAAATCATCTCGTAATTTTTCGTGAGGTCGCAACTGTAACTTCGTCGACTGAATTTTTACGAAGAAATACTCTCTCGCCTCTCCAACTTTCGTAAAAAAAATTACGTTCTCAAACTTTGTTCTTTACGCCCTCTTGATCAATAGCCGAATAATGGAGTACAAGTGATTTACTGCTAATCATATAAAATGCCGGCGGCGCTTATTGGATTTTTTTTTTATTTCCTCCCTCCCCCTCTTTTCCCCCTCATCCGAGAAGAAAAAGACGATCCTAACAGTATTCTGAAAATGTGCGCTCTCTCTCTCTCTCTCGCACTCTCGACGCTTCTTTTTCTTTTATACGTACCCTACAAGCCTAACACTCGCACCCGCGACCATCTTTCTTCCTAACAGCACCTCCGGCTGTAATTTGTGGAGAACAAGAACTTCCCGGAGAGGCATTGAACAACTTTTATAAATGTTTTTTGCGTGAGCTGGTGATACTTTACCTTGCTCTCTCTCTCTCTCTCTATCTATCTATCTATCTCTCTCGCATTATCGCTTTTTGAAGATGATACAGGGATGCGCAAAAAAAGATACACAAGAATCTCTACGTATACCTACCTTCGTGTTTCTACAAATTTCCGATGTCACGATACGAACGAACTTTTTCAAGATGTGCGTGTGAAGTTTGTAAAAATCTTCCTAAAAATGTAAATTAAAAAAAACTAGGTTCAACAATTGCAGCAAAAATAACATTAAACCACGTTGGACTTTTAAATAATCTTTTTAAGCCTAGTTGTTTTTTCTTAATATTGCTCGTTTAAAATTTTTAAGAAATTTTTTTTAGATACATTATATCTTTATATTGTATTCATTTATTGCCAAGTAAAAGTGTGCGCGATAAGAGAGTTGCACTCATTTATTATTTCCCCTCTTCAAACTACGTCAACTTTTTTTGTGTGTAGCTTTATTTATAGTAATCTTCTCTCAGTAATCTTAAAGACCAAAAAACGTCTTATTTCTCCCGCGACTTTATCTGGCAACATCTAAGCTGCGAGACGATTATTCGCGAAACGAATGACAAGACATTTCTCAATGTCCGCGAGACTTTATCCAAACGGGGGTTTGGCGCCATAATCGACGGTAAGAGCACCGCGCCATCGGTGATATCCGTCGCATATCCGTCGCCGTCAGAAAAACGGTGAGGTGAAAAAAAAACAAAAAAAAAAAAAAAAAAAAAAAAAAAAAAGAAAAATGAGGGAAATCGATTAGCCCTAAGCGCGCGCGGGCGTTCCTCCTCCAATCTCCGAATCGAATTAAGCGCCGTGCTTGAACGAACTTAAGAGGCAAAGGCGATATAAAATAACGCTCGAAGGGGAAAAATGATCTCCCGCGCGCCGCAACCGCGACAGCTAATTGCTTTCGTTAAAGAGACACGTCCGCGTTTTGGACGTGTGTCTTTCTTCGCGCCGTTCGAGAGCTGCGCGATCTCTCTCCTTTCCTCCTCGTATCACTCGGATCACCTCCTTGCTGTCTTCTTTTTTTTTTCTTCTTCTTCTTCTTCTTCTTACCCCCAGACGTCGCCCGTCGCAATTTGCGGTAGCCGGCGTAACGGCGGGGCAGAACTTCCTGAAGAGCTGTTGTAAAAGTTTCGGATCAAATGAACGAAAAACGGCGAGCAAGAGAAGGAGAGAGAGAACCTGTGCGAGGGGGGGAGGGAAACCACGGCGGGTTCTCGCGCGAGCGTAACACTCACGCGCGCGCACAGATCTCTTTAAACTTTACCTTCAAACTTTAAAAGTCGTAGCTTCTATTCAATTTTTTAGTTTTCAATACTTCATTGATATCAAAATTAAAACAAAACAAAAAAAAAACAAAAAAACAAAAAAACGATCTGTAATGCTTCTTGTTAACGCATTCTCGTATCTTTCGATACTCTGTAAAAAAAAAAAAAAAAAAAGAAGGGATTTCCGCACGCAAAAGTACCCTTAATCCAGTATCAGCGGGAAACTGTAAGAGGGCGGGGGGTGAGAGAAGAACGGACGGGAGGAGGATGTGGAGTACGAGGGGTCGCGCGAATATGGCTCGTCGTGCGGGCGTTTTCGTTGCATTTTATTGATCCGATACAGAGTCGTAAATGGTACAATCGGCAAATTCATCGGCGGTACAATCGATATAGTCATATATGTATATGTATATATATACACTTATGTACATAGAGTGCCGGAAGGCGCGCGCTTGCAACAACAATGCAACGTCCGGCGCAGAAATAACGCTTCCGGGTTATCGTTACATCGGGAAAATAACGAGAAATCGAGCGCGAGGACCGAGAGTGCGTGTGCGTGTGCGCGTGTGTGTGTGTGTATGTATGCGTGTGTGCGCGCCTGTCCTCCTGACCATTGAGAGATACAAAGTCGTAAAAAAGAACCAGCGACAAACACGGATGTGGAGAGAAGGGTGGGGGGTGGGGGAGTGGGAGTGGGAGCGAGAAACAATGGAGCGAGAATGGGGATAAAAAACAGATAAAAAGGATGTCATTTGAGGTGTTTCCTATGGGAGACTAGAAAACGTATACTCGATTTCGTTATTATTGTGATACGCTAAAGTCGCGGGGGGGGGCAGCACTTCTATTTAATTTATCTTATTACGCCTTAACCCTAACGCTTTTATATAATGGAGCTTAACTTAACTACACGAACTCGATTACACTTATATTAGTGTGCGTCGATATGGATAATGGAACGGGACGATCCGCGTCACGAGCGAGGATCCCCGTCCGTCGATCGTGCGAGCCGAGCACGGGAAGAGAAAAAATTGTCCGATCAGCGTGTTTCCGAAACCAAGCCAAGCTCTTTTCGCTCCTTCGTTTCGTACGACAATTATCAGACCTTACCGTATATATAATTTTCCCTCTGTCTCCGTCTCCTCTCTGTCCGATCGCGCTTCGTCAGCGCTCGATCGGAAGCTCAAATGCGAAATTTCGCTCGGTCGTTAACAGTTTCAGCACCGCGAATTTCATCGAACTTGCTGCTCTCTCGATTGTGTGTGTTTTAATTCGATCGAGTTTTAACAGTCGCTCGTCCATCACACTCGAGAGATAAATCAGATTTTAAATCGTGCGCGTTTACGCAAGCAGTTACGATTTTTTTACATACATACTTGGTTTGATGTTTTCGTTCGCGTATCGCCGGATATCAATAATCGAATTATTTCTCGAAGAACTTTCATTTTCTTCGCGGAAAAGAGAGATGCGCTTCTTCCGTCGAGACACATTATCCGGGCGATGAGCGCGGCGCACGTTTACGTGACAGCAGGTGCTGAAAAAGTTAATCACGCGATCGGCAAAAACCGCGGAATACCGTCCGGTGGGACTGATCATCAACTTTCTTCTCGCTGACTACCTGAAGCGCGCAAGCGGAGAAGGCTGTCCTTCCCGATGCTCTCCATCAGTCCTTCAACGTGCTTTTCGCACAGTCTCTCTCTCTCTCTCTCTCTCTCTTTCCGACTCTATTCCCCGGAGTAAGAAGTTACCCCGAGAACCGTTGCTCGTCGAGAGAGTATCGAGAAAGACTGCTGAAGTAAGACGATACTTCTAGTAGTTGGGCGGGTATGTATGTATGTATGTACGTGTACACATCAAAAAACGATGAATTTCGCGTGAGAGACTTTTTTTTTCGCGGCGAATTTTTGTCTTGCGACGCGATTTCACGACGAACCGAGTTCGCACATTGTGCGAAAAAATCTAGAGTCTGAAAAAACAAAAGCACTCACTTTCGTAATTAAATGTTAATTACACATTTTTTTTTTTTTTTTTCAAAATAATTACTTCCCACTAGATTGTTCAAACCGCGACCTTTCGATCGCTTCTACTTCCGAAACGCGATAAACCTTAACGAAGTTTGCCCGACACCTCGGCCGGGCTGTGTTTGTGCTAGTTTGAATAATGTCGTCTTCCGAGAACTGATCGCTTCATCTTCGGTTAAGCGTTCGGCAATTTCTCCGAGTACACCGTCTCTTTCTCGATCGTGGTCGTCTCGGTAAGTGTAGACAGAAGGAGTTAAGAGTTATTTGATCGAAACGCCGACCCTCGGAGAAGAAGCGCGCGCGCGCGCGCGCGTTAAGTCTTTCTCGAGATAATTCGTCGGAGTGAAAAGAAACAGCATTTTAAAAAGTGTGCGCGTAGAAAAAAAAAATATCTTCTGCTTTTACAGCGCGCGCGCGCGGTATAAATAGAGAACGAACTAATTTTCACACAACGAAGGGGAGAATCTTCATCTCGGAGCTTTCTCCGTCTCTTTCGACGGTGAATTGTTTTTTTTTTACATATTTACGTAACGCTTGCGCGTGAATTATTTTTTTTTCAGTCTCATCTTGGAATAAAAGCAGTCGTTTTCTCTTGACGATGCTTCTCGCGCGCTGCGTTTCGGCGTACGCGGCGAGTTTGACTTGACTAATTGTCGATTTCGCGCGGCCGCGAAAGTAATTCAGAAATTCTACTTAGAGAGAGTCCCAGGTTTCAAAAAGGTCAACAATTTGCGCCCTCCCTCGGCGCAAAACCCTTATCCGCCGAAGTTTTCCGAAACCTGTTGAATCGTTTTATTCCCTCACGGGCAACCCCCTTTTGTGTCCGGATAAATAGCGCGAGGTAAATTTTACACCCGGATTAAACGCGTCCTCGGTACAATGAAAGTTTTTAATTGCACGGAGACAAGATATTAACTAGGAAATATAATTCCTAATTTTATTCGTACGCGATTAATGATATTTAATCGCGGAAAGAGTGTGTCGTTGAAAATTACGTTTCCGCAAAGAATATCGCGTCCCTGAATCTCCGAGAAATAATTAAAGCATCGCGCTTAACTACTACGCTTTCGTTTCGCCGGGGGTGTACACATTTTGCAAAACAAAAACAAAACTCCTCTCGCGGTAAGGATCGTTAAAAATCATTGCGATTCAAGACGCCATCGTCGTGCGAAAGAGGATTAAAAAAAAAAAAAAACAACTCGAAGTTACAATCGCTCTATAGGCTCTTTCTCGGATGATCTGTCGACTAATTAACGTCGACCTCCAACGTCGGGCTCTCCTCGACGATCTTCTCCAGCAGCTGGCCCGATTCGAAGTCCCTGCACCTGTCGTGCACGGCGTACACGTTCGAACTTACGGGCGAATCGATCTCCTGCGCCAAGCCTTTCTTGAGGACGTTAAGGTACCCCTAGCTCTGAATCATGTCGCTGACGTATTCCTCGTGAAGCGCGAGCAGATGACGCGGCACGTCCAGAGCGGTGTGAAGGGTCACGGTGACGCCGCGATTCAGACTAACCGCCGGATAAAAGACGCCGTATAGATCGCGGAACGCGATACCGCCCTGCGGCTGATCGTTGACGAAGAATCGCAGCGTGTGCGTGGTGTCCAGATCGAGCAGCACGCCGACGGTCGAACCCTGTTGAACGCCACCCTCCGTCCGTTGCGCGTGATGGCCGCCGTGCATGAACCACGATCGCTGTCGGTCGATGTACATACTCCAACCTTTGTCGTCCTTACCTGCGGACAGATTTGCAAAGTTTTTTTGCACGGGACCGTCTTCGCGGAAGAGAACATTTTTGTTTGGACAGTTACACAAATATTAGGAATGCGAGATATGGACGAGATATGGATCGGATTGAAAAACGACGCTTTAATGCGTGAAGGGTTCTCGGTTCAATCAGCAAATGCGTTGCAATTTGTCTCGAATGCCGATGCTCCGCTGTGTTTTTGTTTTTTCTTCTCGAAACAATTGCGCGAAAGAGAGAAATAGAAATAAATTATTAGGCAACCACATTGAATTACATATAGTTCAGCGAGCGAGGAATATTTCAGGAAGAGGCTAAGAGGTTGCGGACCCTCTGTTCCATAAATCCCCATCAGGTTCATTAAGCTGAGCGCGCGCGGTCTCCGGATTTCATCGGCTCTAAAAGCGTTGACCCGGATTCACGTGTGTCCAAGGGTTAAAACCTTTATATATCCTCTCTTCTATCCGATAGGTTGCAACAATCCACGCGATCGCGCATTTTCCGATTCCGAAGCGAAATATCTTCTTGGCCGCGCCAAGTCGTCGTTTCCCTCCCGTTCAAGGTTACACATGCGGACGAAAGGAGAGCAAGAGAAAGGGAAAGAGCGAGAGAGAGAGAGAGAGAGAAAGGAAGAAACAAGAGGAAAATACATACGTCTCTCGCTCACGAACTTCCGAACAAACCAGGGATCTCCGGAGTGTAACGGGTGGCGCATGAATATTTCATCGGCGCCGGATAAACCGCACGACATTTTCCGCTTCGGGGAGAAGGAAGGAGGAAAAGAGAGGAGAGAGCGAATAAGAGGAGGGCGGGGGGGAGGATAGAGTTTGAGAACTTACCCAGCATCTGATCGCGCGACACGTCGGCCCGAGCGATACCGAAGGCCGGATCGGTGTCACTATGGTATCGATCGATGGTCAGCTCCCAGTAGTGCACGCCCCGCGAAAAGCCGACGCTCGAGAGAACCACGCGATGCTCGTAGCCCTCGCAGGACGCGCTCATCGCGTCCTCGGATATGGACACTTCCTGCGGTATGCCGGTCGCACCGGTGGCCCACGAAAACCACGCTACTGCAAAACCAGAGAAAAGGGAAGGGGGACGAGGGGAGATGTGGCTCCCCCCGATTGTAGCTCCGATTAATATTCCGCGGACTAGGGATCCGCGCTTAACGAACTACACGTTCGGCTGCGCGCGCGCGCGCGCGCAAGAGAGAGAGAGAAAGTGCGACGGCGTAGTATCGAGTGCCCCGGATTATTGGAAATTCGCCGCTGCTTGCCGTCGCCGTCGTCGCACTCGATGTTAATAACGACGTGACGGGATTGTGGAATCTTAATATTAGAAAGTATAGAAACGCGGGCCAGAAGGGATCTGATTTTCTATGCGGCTAAATAAATGAAGAAGAATTTGATATACGTATGGAGGTCAAAACGCGATCGCGAAAATCTCCGCGAGTGAGGAAGAAGCTTGGTCTTTTCCGTATGAATTTTTGCATATAATTTAATATCTCTCGGAGATGGATGGGATCTGACGCGAGACGAGGAGCGTATCGTCGAAGCGAGCTTGATATAAATTTTTTTTTACATCTCGCCCGAAATGTATCGAGTTACTCGCGATTCGAAATAATGCGCGATAAAACGTCTCTTTTCTTTGATTGTTACATTTATAATCGCGCGATATCGTATTTCGCGCGGACGCGCATTATGCGACAAAAAGAAAAATTCAACGCTAAAATCAAAAGAGAAAACAAATTCACGCGTACTTTTTTACTTGCAAAACTAAATCTATTCAAATTTTCTACTTTAATTATTGTAAACGTTGTAAACATTTACATATTATTGTAAATTAACATTGTAAGCATTTACATGCACAACACACGCGTGATGTTGAAATAAATAAAAAAAAAAAAAAAAAAAAAAAAAACAAAACCAAAAAAAACAAAACAAAATTCTCTCCGAGGAAAAACCGTTTTTCTGCGGCGACACACAAAAGTAAAACCGTCTCATAGTGGTCATTTGTAATTGTCGACCGCATTATTCCGGANAAACTAAATCTATTCAAATTTTCTACTTTAATTATTGTAAACGTTGTAAACATTTACATATTATTGTAAATTAACATTGTAAGCATTTACATGCAAAACAGTAGCGTGAATTAGAAATAAATAAAAAAAAAAAAAAAAAAAAAAAAAAAAAAAAAAAAAAGGGCAAACGAAATTTCTCTCCGAGGAAAAACCGTTTTTCTGCGGCGACACACAAAAGTAAAACCGTCTCATAGTGGTCATTTGTAATTGTCGACCGCATTATTCCGGAAACGCCACATGGTAGACACACTCTATCGCGCGCGGCCATTTCGCGTGTACGTCCCCCTGTGCCCCCTTGCCGCCCGTCCATCTCATCGATCACGCGATCGCGTCGCGGAAAAAAAACCAGACTGGAAAAATCGACGTCGCTCACGATCGTTCGTCTTCCACGCGACACCGACGCCAATTTTCCAGCCGAGGCCTTCGCGCGAGCGCGCGTTTAGTCGAGAAAAGAATTAAAAGAAAAAAAAAAGAGAGAGAAAAGAATCTCACCCTCCGCTGTCTGAAGTCCGATCAGCTCCGAGTACTCGCCCTCGCCCGCGCTGTTGAACGCCCGCACCCTGGCGTTGTAGAGCGAGTTGAAATGCAGCCCGTCAACCGTGCAGATAGTCTCGCGGCCGCAGTACACTTCCTGCGAATCAGATTTCAAACGTGGACACTCACGTAAATTTGCGGCAACCATTGAAAAAACTGGATAGATTTCCTTTGCTTTGATTTGGGAGGGAAAGCGAAACATATTTTCGCAGAAAAACATTTATCGACTGTGTGTGGGAGAGAGTCGTGTTTTTTTTTTTTTTTTTTTTTTTTATGTCAAAATTCTTATTTTTTACGCGAAAAGAAGAAAATAAATACTCGCGGTGTAAGGGTAGCGAGTGAAAATTGCTGTTGCCCACCAATCTCTCGGCGCAGTGGATGAGCGAAAATAACGGATAAGCAAGATTTACCCGTCATGTCGAGTTTCCTGAAAGAAGCGGCAAGTCAATATCGATTGGCCGACCGACAGATAAACAAGCGAGATACGTCGTTATCAGATTCACGTCGAAAGCAATTTCTTGCGGTGAAATATTCGATTCGAACAATTTTACTTCGAGAGATGTAGTTTTTTGTTTTCACATACAAGTGTGAAAAATGCACGTGTGTGTGTGTGTGTGCGCGCGCGCGTTTCTTGATTATTACAAAGTAAATGTAAACGTAACCGAATTAAAATCTCGCGTTTTCTTCAGATCGAGTTTCACGCTCTGCGAAATTAATTCTGGACAAATATGCAAATTTACCGACAAACTTGATCCTTTCTATGTTGTCTGTCGGAGAAGCGATTCGCCGTAAGCTCGAGGCTTTCCGCAAGCGGAACGCGAGAACAACGACGAGTAAAACGGAAACCAGAAACCCGGGGAAACCCGAGGCGTTGGTCGTGCCGCGCGTGAACGAGCTCGATTTAAATATTAAAAGGAGAGGAGAGATCCCTCGATGGCCGCCGCGAGAGGAGAACTACGCCGGTGATAGGCGAATGGGTCCGGAGAAAGGGACCGCCGCGGCAAGGACGAAAAGAGAGAGGGAGAGAGAGAGAGAGAGAGAGAGCGTCGACAATGAGGACGATTTATATTCGCGGTATCGCTCAGTTCGTTAACGAGCGCCGTATCGCAACGCCGCCAGGTACATTATTAACGAAGCATGAAAATTTAGACGCGCGGCGATTTGCAAGCCCGCGACTTTGAGAGAGAAAGAGAGAGAGAGAGAGAGAAGCGAACACACGTACGTGATATTCGCGGGCAATTTCGCCGCGAATTTTACAACATTTTGTGCATTCCGACCGAAAACTCTTGTAAAACGTTGAAAAAAAGATCGGCGCGCGATCTCTCGCGTGACTTTTGTGAATATTTAAACTTGAATTAGACGCGTAAAACAACTGCGCGATATAAAATACTTATGCGCGAATAAATCTACGCTTTATACACACACACACACACACGCACTATCAATTCGAAGCTTTTTCTCGACTTTTTACTCGTCTTCTCGCGCGATAGCCGGGAGACAAAGTTCCCAGGCGGTGAAACTACCCTCTCGCGCGAACCGCGGGGGGATAGAATCGCTCCTCCCCCCACATTAATATCGCGGATTATGTGGCAAACGACGGTTCGAACTGGCGCCATTTGATAAAAACTTCTAATGAACGGAACGATATCGCTGGGGGCACTTAATAATTACCTCCGTCGGAGAGAATCGCTCATTTCTCACGTGTAAGCCCCGGAAATCGTCGGTATTACGGATTTCAATTAACGGGCACGATATTTTTTTTTATTTTTTATTTCCGCGAAAACGTCTCAATTCGCAAACTGCCTTCGCGATGAATACGAAACGAAGGATTTAACTCGGGGAAAACACGTGAAAATGAGTTTTATTGTATTACGCGCGCGCGCGCGTTTCAATGTATAATCTGCTTATGCGCAGCTAATTGGAGAGATTATCGGTGTTTTGAACGCGCGAGGTAAAACGGATTAATGTAGCGAGGAGTAAAACTCTGCCTTTCATTCGGATACGTTAAATTTCGAAATTGTTCAAATCCCGTCCCGTAAATTTCCGTTCTGCGAAACCCGCTTTTTATCCCCGTCGACTTTTATTGGCGGCTTGTGCGCGCGCGCGCGCGAGCGCTACTTAGGGTTGAATTATTAGCCGTAATCGTTACAACCACGTTTCCAGGGTGCTCCGCTCTGCTGCCACCCGCGTTTACGATCAATAAAACCCGAAAGACGGCGTCGTCCCGGACTAAAGTCCGGTCGGAGAATAAATTGTGTCTCCTTTCTCACTCTCCGATCCGACGGAAAAACGAGAGCAGAGAGAGAGAGAGTCCGTAACGGAGACTTTTACGAAGAGAGATGTTCGCGCGGATTCGCGCGCGTCTCGGATGTACAGCTACGCAGCTCGTAACAAAAATCTCTATATACGAGAAGAACATAAAGTTTACGGTCAATCGGCATCGATATGTTCATTTTGCGGCGCGCGCACAGAGAACAAATTTCTATCCAACTGCCGCTTTATATGATCTTCCATCGTCCGTTCCCTCTATAATCCTCTCTCTCTCTCTCGTCACGACTCCTCCGCGTTTTCACGTTACGATAATAGAACGATGTGATCTTTCGACAAATTGAAGAGAAAATCTTTATCTCTGCACATCTCTGCGATTTTATTGACGCGGATTATTCCCCGGATACATAGATCTGTTGTCTGTATATAAGATGATGATTCGATACGTAGCGCGCTTCTTATACAAAGCAAAAATCATTTAACGCTTTTATCGATCTTCACGTTACACGCAATCCCGCGGAGTATAAACAAAGTAGTCGAGCAGAAAGCTATTGTGGAAAGAATTTTAACGACCGCATTTTCACACACACACACACACGGGAACTTACATCTTCCTTCCCCCTCGGGTTACACCGTCACGTTTATAGTTCAGCGTGTACAGCCAATCTTTTAGAGTTTCTCGCCACGTTCGTGCAGTTTTGTCTCTTTTTTTTTTTTTTTTTTTTGCCACTATTTTCGATTCTAGGAGTAACTTTCTTTTGCTCGAGCGCGCGAGAAGACCCTCCCCCCCTCCACCCCGGTGTCTTAACTTACGGGAACTGACTGTGCTAGCCATCACGCTGCGCGATGAAAGGCGCTTTATTGTAATATATATATATATATATATGTATATACATTGATAAGGCAATTTGTTATCAAATTAAATTTATCAACTCCTAAAGTAAAACAGATGCAAAACATAAAAGAAAACAACAATTTACGCGAAACGCAGTTTTCTCTTCGCTAGTAAAAACACGGTTTTAACGCGCGCGCGCGCGCAACAATATTTACCGATGCAAGGAAACGAGTGAAATTATTATTTCGCGGGAAAAATAAATATTGAATATGTTATATTTGCCGTCAGTTCGTGTCGCGGGAAAAACAAAATCGACGAGAAAAAAAAAACGTCGCGATAACATCCCGAAGTGTCCCGTTGTCGGGGCAAAAGCCGCGTATATCGCTGACGGCGATATACACTCGGAGAAGTGCCCTGGTAAAGAAACACCGGGGGACCGAACGTCGGCGAGGAAACAAGCGCGATGAAAAGATCCGAGACGGGAGTGAAGTGTCATCGAAGAAGATTCGCAGGGCGCGATCTCGAAGAAAAGCTTCGAGATCCGCGCGTCCGACAGCTCGTCGCCTCTTCTCTCGAAGGAGAAGCGACGAGAATACAATTTCTTAGATACACATATATATATGTATATACTATATATAGATATCTGTCGAGATGTGTGTTTATACTCACTCTGAATTCTCCGCCGCAGCCATCGTCCAGTTCCAAGAGATAGCCCTCGATGGCCGGACCCCTCTGTCCGGCGCAGCCTATAATTCCGTGTCCAGGTGGCGGCTGCCAGGCAACAGTGACGCTGTTGTTCTCGGCGCTGCACTCTTCGGGGATCAGCAGAGGCGCTCCGGGTGCTAGAAAATGCGTACGAATCGATTTGAACAGACGCTTCGCGCGTCGCGCTGTAATCGCAGGTGTTGCGAGATCACAGAAATAATAAAAAAAAAAGTAAAATAAGAAATATCGTTTAAATGCAAATCGATAAAGTAATTAGTAAATAAAACAGTAGAGAAAATAAAAACAAAATTGCTTCAAAACAGAAAAAACCGTTCGACATCTTCTTCGGCAGCGATTATTATATTGCGCACATATAAAACTAAAAACGCGTGTAATATTTTTTTTTTCTAGATAAATTTCTTAATTATATTATTTAAAATATACATAAACTTGTTTGCGGCAAAGAATGCGATAAAAAGAGAAATTCATTTATCGCGCGATACGAAAGACTTTGCGCGTTTGTTCTCTCGCGAGAGGAACAAACTTGCGCGAGGGCGCGGACGATAAATCGGTTAGTGTGTACCGGTTTAACGACGAAAGCTTTCAATTCTGAAATTTTCCGCCTCAGTGGAACTTTGTACACACTTAAGAAGTTCTTCAGGTAAGTAGTTAAGCATTTTGCATGTTCGCAGCGAAAGGATTGAGGTGAGGGTATTTAACTTTGCAAATTTCGAGTCGGGCGAAGTTTGCTTGTAAGTCACTTTACTAACAGAGGTAAGTCTGGTAAGTAAAAAGAAAATTTTGTGTCTTGCAAATAAGATTAAGATGAAATATATAATAAGCGAAAAGAGAGAAACGTCTTCGATAATATATATATATATATACGAATGATGAATGGGAGTTATAGCAGAAAACGCGAAGAGATTCCGTGAAAAATAAAATACATTCGCACACGAAAGTGGTTTTCGTGTCGAGAGACAGGAGGATTTTAATCGCCACCGATTAATTTCAATCACGTGCGTCGCGGCTCTAATACTCGAATCCCCAATCCCCGATTTTGACCCGAAGTCGGCTTGTCGGCGATGACCTTCGGCGGCAATACTTGTGCGATTTAAACGGGACTCTCTAAATCCGTCGTGGAGTTTCCCAACGACAACGACAACGACGACGACGACGACGACGAAATGGGACTCGGTCGTTGCCGCGCGACCGCACGATCTCTCGTTCTGACTACGTAGCTGTACCTTGGTAAGGCACAAGTTGTGAAGGCACAAATTACTCGCGCGCTCAGATTTCTGTCCCACGCGGAAATGCGCATCGGCGCGAAACGGCAATTATTCAATCTGCTGCGCACCAAAGCGTTCCTTCGATAAGACACGAGAATTGATCCTTCGAGAAAATTTCATTCGTAAATCTGATAAACAATTGCTCGTTATAATAACGTATATGTTTTCCTCGTTATAAACTGCAATATGAGGTACGCAAAGAGATAGAGATAGAAAGAGAGAGAGAGAGAAATGCTATCATTTCAAAAACCTTCCACCCGCGCAAACGTTCTGTTTTTATCAAACATTGCGAATAATCTCGATCGACTCGTCTCTCTCGCAAGAGATTAATCTCTCAAGATAAATCTAAGATTAGATCGTTTGAAATAAATAAGTGCTCTGATCATATTTTGGACGTGCATTATAAACCCCAGACGTTACGGTAGTCCGCTTTCGGGAGCGTTAACGCGAGCTTCACGGCATGTCGGTGCGGTTGTTGGTGCTTTTGCATGCAATTATCTGGCTTTCAGTGGAAGCCCGTCGCGTCGCTACGCGAGTCGTCCGCTCGTCGGTTAACTTGTATGGCATGCTAATACTGAAAGCATTCTCTCTCTCTGTCTCTCTCTCTCTCTCTCTCCCTTTGCGCGCTATTCACCGTGCAATTTCGCACAAACTTATCTCGAAAGCGTTCTCCGACGCGATCCGACTCCCCTGTCCGTTTCGGTCGTCGATTCCGGATGTGCCAGCAACATAATTCGATCGTCGGACGGTCGTCGTCGCCGATCTATCGTGAAGTAAACACGCGAAGAAAACGAAAAAGACGAGAGAGAAGATCCGGGACGTTTGGCAGAACGCACGTCGAGATGCGCAGTCGACTGGGAGGAGGGGAAAAAAAAAAAAAAGGAGAAATACGAAAAGTTCCAAGACGCGACCTTCTTGCCGCGTCGATTGACATCGATAAGTCGCAAAGAATCGCGGATCCAGTCGATTCTTGCGGACAGAATAGCTATTCTACCGTGTATATCCGCGATATATTTCCTAGCCGCTTTAAAGCCGATCTCCTTTCTCCTTTGTGACAAGTCTGCGACAAGTATTCCGTTCAATTCCGATCTTAAATTGGATCGAGTCCGCTCTCGAGAATAAATAGAAAAACGACGGACCAGAGAGAGAGAGAGAGAGAGATCAATGGCGATTGGGATCCGCGCATTGAAAATACGCGCGTCCTTCGCGGAATAAAAAAATAAAAAAAAATAAAAAAACAAGTTCAATGGCGTCGCCATATGCGTTCGCAAATAAAAGAGCGCTCTTTTCTCTCAATTTTGCGCTTGAATATTTGATTAAGATATTCGACGGATTCGGCGGAATTGTTTGTTGAGAATTGAATGAGATTGTGAGAAACGCGTGGGTGAGCACGCGGCCGAATGTGGCACGCGACTAATATGCTCGGCAAAAACACACATCTCTCTCACACTTCTCTCTGTGTGAAACACACAACCTAGAATATCATCCCTAAATATATCCCAAAGTCGACTCGGAGTAGCGAATTTCGGAAGCGTTGCGCCGCGGAAGTTTATATATAGAGAACTGTTAATTGTATTTAATACGTTTCAACACACGCGGACAACAACGCACAAAACGGTAGTCCGGAATATTGTTTCGCCTTGCTTGTAGCTTCAAGGCTTGAACATGTGTATGCATAATTAACCGGCTTCCACGCTTGACAGCGAATCGTCACGGAGTTCAGCGTATATACATCCTTGCGCGGTGCGCCGTCCGTTTCGCTCCGCGAAACGCTCAGGAGATATCCCTGCGGTATGTTTCGCGTTATGGAATTAGGCTAATGGCCACTGACTGTTGCACGTATAAACCGTGTTCCACATTCCCCTATCGGGGATCGTCTTTAATGCAAATTTCATTTCCCGATGAGGAGCGAGAATCCCCCGCATTTAATTGCGACGTCGCCGAAAATTTAACAAAGTGACGTCGATTATTTTGACAGCCGACAATTTGACCTGGCACCGTTTGCACGAGAACGCGCAAGAGAGATTTGCGCAAATAAAATGGCACCGCGCTTGCACTCTCATGTTGTTTCCCACACTGAGAAATACACCGAGAGAGAGAGAGAGAGAGAGATCTGAGAGAGAGAGTCTTTTGGCGACGACTTGGAAGAGCGCGCGAGGAGGGAGGCGTTTGACGAGACGCGATAAAAATCGACCCGACGAAAGTCGTTTGTGTCAAACAGCGAGATAGCTACGTGGCGGCGAATAAACTCACCCCTGTTTCCCACCACCGCTTATCGCGATCCAAAAACTCGTGTAATCCGACGTTGGAATACATCCCCGCCGCGATGCAGCTCGTTCGGACGTTAAATTCCGCTGCGCTACACACACACTCCGTCCGCTCTACCTCTCTCTCTCTCTCTCTCTCTCTCTCTATGCCATCGCGGCATTACTATCGATTATCCCGGATTTCGTCGGATTTTACCGTCGGCGCTATCAACGTCGCGCGACGTCCCTAAGTATCAGCCGTCGTCGACGACGACTATCTCTCTCTCTCTCTTTCTCTCTCTCTCTCTCTATGTTGTTCTCGATAATACGCATATGTTGTTTTTACGACAACAAAGATTAAATTGAAACATTAATTACGCATCTCAGATGTTTAAGCGCGCGCGTAACTCCTCCGAAAAAAAATGTCTCTCGATATCACAACGCTCGCGCGAGGTTTTTACGATACGACACCGAATATATATAAATTTACACGAGTATCCGGCGAGAGAGAAGAGAACAGAGGGTGAGGGGCGCGTATATAACCGCGGCGCGTCAATTAAAACCGGCTAAAAGAGTCGCGCGAAAACGCATGAAATATCGATCATCCTTCTTTTACGAGGGTGATACTGCGCGCTCGTAAAAGCGGGAATTAATGGGCAGGACAGGTGCGCGCGAGCGACTCGAAGATCTTCGTTTCCGGACGAGTCCGACGGTGTTCAATAGAGACGCGCGTGGAAAATAACGCGCGTTGAGGGGTAGGGGAGGGTGGAAAAACTGTTACGGTCACCTCGCTCTTTTTACAGTTTTACAATGGGGGTTGGGCGGCCTCGCGCGCGACGTGAATCGACGCACCCGGCGAAACTTTATGCCCATATCGGAGTGATTTATCGAACGGCGCGAGTCTCGTCGCGCCGCGCCTATATCCGATACGTTCGTATATCCGTTCTCCTCTTCGTTCGTTCTCTTCTCTTTGCGAGGAAAACGTGGAAAAAGAATGCACCGATAAGGGCAATGTAGCAGAGAAGAGGAAAAATAGAGAGAGAGAGAGAGAAAGGAGAAAGCATGACGAAGCGGAGAGCGCGCCGATAGCCCGTTAAAATGTATCGCGTGCGAGATATATCTCGCCGCTAAAACTTACCGACAGGTGAAAATAAACTTCGCAACCGGGAGGATGGACGGTTCTCGGAGTCGCGAAAAATGGTTTTCTCGCGAGATTCTCGACCGTGATCTTGAGCAACTTCTTCGCCCGAAAAACGATCTTTCACGCTTCGCCTCGAGCGAGTGGAAAGGATCACGTTTCGGGTTTCGACAGTCTCATTTCTGACGCGAGACAACTGGTCCCGAGAAGAGCGAAAAGAGCTTTTACTTCGAACGCTCCGTAACTTTCCGATTTGACTCGAGTTTTTTTCATCGCAAACGCTCGCAATGCGTTTTTTCCACTTCGATAATTACGGAAAACTCGGTCGAATAAATCTCTAGAGAATTTCTTTTTCTTTTTTTTTTACGACAGTCTCATTTTCAGACTATATTTACGAGTTTGTTTCACTGTCGTCGTATTGTAGACGCGAAGAAGTGGTTTATATTGTGAAGAAAAGTACGTCGCGCTGATAGAAACGTGTGGGTTTCGATTCCAAAAGAGGAAACTCTCCTTCTCCCTTTTTATTTTATTAAAGAAAAAAGAAAAAAAAACAAAATATTCCCATAATACCAAACCACTTTAATCTGCGTGTGTAATAACGGCCGAAAGGAGCTCGAATTCCGATGAGAGAGATCCATCGTTGTTATTAAAAGAGACAATTGTTGGCAATGAAGCGCGCGATTGCGGTATCGCGGGCGCATAAATTAATGAGAGAATTAATTTGCCAGCGTCGAGGAGGTGAAATTCCCCGTTTACCCGTGTTATCTGGACGAGACGTAGGTACGTACGGGACATTAACATCGCGCATTGTACGGTCGTCAGCCACGTCGCGACAAGCCCGCGTTTAATTTTCCGCCGGACGTCTCTCGACGAGTCTTCTTCGTCGTTTTTTTGTTTCTTTTTTTTTGCGTTCGCGCGGAAAACGAAAAAGCAAGGCTAAACGGAAGGAGGGCTATAAACAAAAAAAAAAAAAAATCCGTTCGAAAAAAGAGACAGAGCATTTTCAATAATCGCACATCGATTCGTCGCGGAACAGTCGCGCGTACGCGTTCCGCTAAATTTCGCGACAAGTGAATTTGAACGAAGAGCGCATTTTTGTTGTTTCGCGCGATTATTACAACCAAGCGAAGCGCATTAATTATTTTACATTCGATAAGGAAACGCAACGTTCCATAAAAAAAACCACAGTTGATGAGACACGTAAAGTCCGCGGTGATAAACTTTTCATTCCCGCAACAGCGTCTGGTCGTCTTTAAGACCGCGGGAGCCGGATAACGAGATTTCGCGGTGACCCGAGAGAAAAATTCAACAATTTTTCGTGTCATAAAACTCTCGAGATATTAACGACACCGACCGCGACCGCGATGCGATAAAAGTCGAAATTCGAGAAAGCAAAACACTTAAGCGCGATCATATACGTATATACCGCCCGTCGTCGTCGTCGTCGTCGTCGTCGTCGTTTTGCGTTCAATTAATTTAATTTCGCTTCTTCGCGACGAGAAAAGAATCGACGAATTTCGACGTGCGCGATTTAAATTTGTCTCGTCGCGATCGATAATCGCGGCGTAACCAACTTCGGGGGAGAGGAGGATATCGGGTACGCGAAAATAAATTTCACATTTTCTCGCTCCGTTCGGACTTGCGCTAACAATAAGAGGCAATAAGATTTCTCGCGTTGCAGCTGCAGCTGTTGCAGGAACCGCCGGGTCTTCGAATTTCCGGGAGTTTCTCTCGTAAAACTCCCTCTCTTTCTCTCTCTCACTCTCTCTCGGCGCGAGAAATGTGTACGTGTGTTTATAGAGTGCGCGCGCGCACCCTATACACACTCTCATAGTTTTGCAATTTATTATTTTTACTTCTGTCTCGCGTTCCATAATCTCTTCCAATAAGTATTTATTGGACATCTATAAATCGTTAAGAGAAATAAAAACTCGCGTATTACGTTTTTTTTTTTTTTTTTTTTAAAAAAAAAAAGAACGCGAAACGAAATTATTCAACATTTGTGAATTAAACAAAGTGTCACTGTGGAAGAAAAAAAAACTATGAAATATAAAACGCCACGCGTTACACCTTTTTTTCCAATGTATTACCCACATTCGTTAGATTCCGGAAATCGCTCTCTCGAGCGTCTCTCGAACTTTTGCACGCGAAATTTTCCGCGAACTCCGGAAGTTTTCACGGGGTGCGGAGGAGAGGGCGGAGAGGACCTTCCCTCCCCCTCTGCTCCATCTTCCTCTCCGCCCCGCTATTTGCAATGCCGGGGGTTAAGTAAATGAAATTCCGTGTGACTCCGCCGTCAAGTATCGCAGATTTTAACGAACAGAGACGCGCGTCGCTCTTTGACGAGCAGACTGCGCCGTAATGAAGAAACTTTCTGGTATTACCGTATGATTCGATATCAGGATCGCTTGAGAGTGAAATGTGTCTCGTGATAGAGAGAGAAGCGCGCGCGCGCGCGAGAGAGAGAGAGAGAGAGAGAGAGAGTTTACCGCCTTCTCTCGTCTCTTGGCGGGTAATCATTTATCGGACTTCGTTAAACAGAGTTGTACTTCATTAAGTTCTCCTTTGCCGCTCCTAATCAAGAAAGAGTGTGGCCGGTAAATTCGTTGAAATAACGGAAAGCAAAGCCGAAATAAGTTTTCTGAGAGTGGAGGAGAATGAAGAGGGGGAGAGAGAGAGAGAGAGAGAGAGATTCTGCATTTTCAATTCCAGCGGTGGTAAGTGCTTTTGCGCACTTTTTTTTTTTTTAAAGTTAATTTCGATCGAAGTGAAGTGCACACAGTTGACGAAATAATTATTTACCACTCGTGTCTGAAATCAAATTTCGAACTTCGTCGTCCCGCCTCTCTCCCCGCCCTCTTAATACACAATTCTCGTATCTCTCTCTCTCTCTTTCTTTCTCCCAATTATTTAATTACCGTACGTCTGTAAACACGTTAATCAGACGCGATTAACATTTCTCGAACGAACCGACATCGGGAGAGACTACTGTGCTGCGTGTAACACACAACCGTCATGTAACGGAGAGTCCCCCGTGCGTACCCAGCGAGTGGCAAGGGGAGAGAGATGTCTCCTTGTAACGAGTTAATACCACCAGATCGTTACGGCAGTTACTGCAAAGCCGGTACCTAATTAATCCGCTTTTGAAACGTTTTAGCGTTACGGTAAAGCTGGCGGCTGCGACGACGGCGAGCAAGGAGGCACGCGCTTAAAGGAGACTCTCTCTCTCTCTCTCTCCTCTCTCCCGGGGGCTACGTAAAATTATTAAGCGAAACCCCCCGTCCCCCCTCCTTCGCCACTCCTTCATCATCTCCCGACCGTCTAGACGACTTCGACGGCAAGATCGACGCCTCCTCCATCTTTCTTAATTGCTGTTTTTCTCTTTTTTGGTTTTTTTCCCCTCTCCGTTCGCTTGTCGCTAATATACCTTATGGGAGTTTCTTTTTTTTTGGTTTTTAATATGTGGAGTTTTTTTCTTTCTCTTTACCTGCTGTCGGAAATCGTTCTTCCCCTTCTGACGCTGCGTCCAACAGTAAAACGCTCTTGTCATTTCGAATGAGAATTTGCATTTTATACACACTTACGTACGTACGTGCATGCGCATGCAAATTACAACAACGACGACAACAACAACAACATCAACGAAAACTCGTTCGAAAGTGTGTCTTTCCCGTCGAATAATTTTACTCTCTTGCGCTAAATTAAATAAAAGATCCACCCCTCTCTCGAAAACCTTCGCGCGCACGAAGAAGAGTAATTGCCTGATAAGGGAAAGGCAATTTACCATCACGGCGAAGCTACTTTAAATATTACGCTGTAACAGTCATAGCGAGATACGAGTCAAAGTTGCAATAGCATGTGAAACTACCGTTTTCGCCCGCGTTTCAGAGAGCTAGATAGACTATCAAGACTCGCGCACAAAGCACAAAGTTGTGCGCGCGCGATCGCGGCGCGCGCGTTTCACAAAGATAAATCGTCTCCCTCCTCACAACGAAAATCCGCGTAGTCGCGAAACGAAGAGCTCTGCAAAACGAAGAGTCAATTAAGCGCGCACGAAAACCTCCCCCCCCCCCGTCTTTCGAACGAGTTTACGCCCGAAATGCCTCACTTAACATCGCGGGTGTGTACGTGTACGCGCGAGGATGTGATGTGAGGATTCGACGAGTCATCATAAACAATTCAGCGAAGCAGATGGATGAGTTTCGAGGAGCCAACGAGATGTTTTGAAACGTCATTTCGCGCACGTTGGAAACACGTATATATACATACAGAAAATTTATTCACCCGTTTGTTCACGAAAGTTCGTGCAAGATCGCGATCTTTCGAACAAACGCGGAATCGATGTTGACGATGAAACGCGCGCGTTAATTTTGGTGCTTCCGCTAGAGCACGTTTTAATTAGAAGAGAGTCGAGAGTTTCTTTAAATTAATTTTGAACTCCGTCTCTCGAGTGAGCGCTTCTCTCCATTGCATAGAATTTTAAAACAAATTGTTACACACACACACACACCTTTAGACTTTAAACGAGATATATAATTGTAGAGAGAACGAAACGTCTTATTTTACACTTTCCTCTCTCTTCAACGTGCATGTTTCTATAACAAAATTAGCCGCTGCTCGGTTCTCACGCTGAATATCGTTGGCTCCTAAGTAACTTCCTCTCCGGTAGACGCGCGTAAATCTACACTCTCTCCATGCTTTGACTACGCCCTTAACTAATTAATTAAGTGGTACTTCGGAACTTTCACACAAAATCATCAACGTATAATATAATCAAGTTTCATCGACCGGTGCTGCTGCTAAAATGTTATCGAGATTCTTCGTGAAAAATTCGTTCGCGTATGTTTAAGAGAATTCTGAAGAATTAATATTCACAATATAAATCCGACCAAAATTTTTATATTAAACAAAATTAAACAACATGCCAAATTAGTTAGCGCATGCACACTTCGCGCGATTTTTTGACGACTCAACGCGGTTTTTCGCGAAAAAGTTACGGGATTACCGGGGAAAACGTAAAATTCTTTCGCGAGCGATATAAATTTATTTGCGATCGTCACCGGGAGAGCGAAGCGCCGTAAAAATTCAATCTTCGCTCGCACACATACTTACATACAGCGTATAAACACTGTACTCACGTTTGAGTTGGACGAAAGTGAGCTGATCGATGGCGCGGCGCAACGGCTTGTCGTCCAGAGTTAGATCCAGCAAGGGCAGACGAGCGATCTCCTGCACCCCCTCGGCGCCGCCCCAGGAACCGGCGGCGGTGGCCGCGCGGACCGACAGCATGCCGCCGATTTGCAGAAAGGCCGCGCTGTCGGTCTCCTTCAGCGCCTCGATGCAGAAAGTGAGCAGCGCCGTGGTCGTCTGCAGATGCGTGGCGCATCTCGTCACCTGGTCGCGCAACGAGCGCACCCGCGCCTCTCTGGTCTGCCGAGCGGCCTCGATCAGTCGCGACTTCCTCGCCTGCAGAAGGCTCACCAGATTCGCCACTCGATCCTCAACCTCTTCCTCGAGCGCCGCGCATTCCTCCTGAGATAACGGCGGAGAGAGAAAAATTGTGTTACGCGTATAATATTAAAAACTATTTTATCTTTTGGCGTTGTGTTTTCTTACGCGATAGAAAACTTTTTACGCGATGAAAAACTTTTCTACTTCCGGCTAAGTTCTCACGGCGCGGAAAAGTTCTGCACTATATATATATATATATATATATATATATATATATATATTTTTTTTTTTCGCGCCAATCAATATATTCAGCGAGATGTGCGAACTGTACACAGAGTTCGTTTTTATCCCCTCGAAAAACTATAACTGGTCTGTTAGCTGCTGTTACACATAGCAAGTTGTATACAGCTGTAAAAACAACGACGCGAGTTTTTATTTCGGAGAATATATATTTTTTTGTACATATATATATATATATTTATATGTGTGTGTGTGTGTGTATAAATATGCTCTTTTTTTGCGCGAATTTGCTTTATCGAACTGGCTTTTGAAAATATCACACGATTTTACACACGCACACACGAACAAACCGGCAAAAAGGTGCGTGGGCCGTGAGACGGGCGAATCGAGCGAGAAATATGATATCGAACTGATTAGTACGTGGCGCACAAAGGAAGAAATACAAACGGCGTTATCAAAAAAGAAATCTCGTTTGTCGGCTGACAGAGCTTTATTCACCCCTCCCCCCCCCCCTCCCCGTCCCGGGGATACGTTTTCTTTGTACATCCCGAATTATCCCTTCGGCCATCAGAGATGAATACGGCCCGCGCGCCGGAGACCCGATGTAATTAACGCCATATCTTTTTGCAATTTCACGGCGCCCACGTATCACGTGACGTGTCCGCCGACACGGAATTTAAAACGAACGCCAAAGGCGTGCGCGGCGTACTCACGTGCACTTTATCCGTCATTCCTTTGAGCCTTTGAATGAACTCCGTCGTCGAGCGGGCCCTCTCCGACAGCTGTTGGAGATTCTGTGACAGCTCCGTCTGTAACAGTAGAAATGCGAGACGCGTGAGGAAAACGCAAGCGATGAGACGACGGGAATTCGGCGAACGTGATACGGACACGCTCATCCGCTCGTACGAAATTCTCGTGCGGAGAAAAGGAACAAGATGTAATCTGTGTGAAAAATATCTAATTATGATATAAAACACACGCGCGAGTGTTGCGTGTACTTTTATAAAATTACGCGTGCGTGTACAAATATTGAACAAAAAAGAAATGTAATAATTAATGTTAACGTACTTTTTGCGCTGCGAGATCGCAAAGACGGGATTATCGTGCGAGGTGATCGGAAATAATTACGTGTCTATGTGTTTTTTTTTTTTTAACGTCTTCGGTACGGAGCTCGTCCGCCGCGAACCGCAAGCAAACGTATTAAGTTGAGAAATTGAACAACACGAGAGTTGATACAAACCACTTGCAACGAAGTGTTCAGATTAAAGAAAGAACGTAAACAACCGAATGTTTTCGCCGATTGTCGACTGTAATCGACGCTCGTCCTCAAGAGGTTAAATGATTTCTTTTCGAAACAAAAGAAAACTGATCCTAGACCAGAAAAAATAGCGCGCGAATCAAAATCCCACACATGTTGTACAAAATATAAAACTTTTAAAGAAACTGACGAGTATATATATATATATATACTGTTCTTTGATGTTACTACAGCACAACACAGGCGCGCACGCTATTATTATTTTCATTTCAACGTGTTGTGTCGGTGAACACAACCTGTCACCGCGATGACAACACAAGTATATGTATACGTCTTACAAATCATATAATACACATATGAGAAATGTCGAAAAAAAAAAAAAACGCACGAAAAAATCAAACTCAGAACACATAGTGAGAGGAAGAAGCGGAAAAACAACACGTGACTGAAAGTACAGTCACGTGTTGTTTTTTCCTCTCCTCTCTTTCTCTAATATTTTCGAGTTTTATTTTTATACGTTATTTTTCTGACATTTCTCATATGTGTGTAATATATGGTTTGCAAGACGGTCACGCTTTGTTCCGTTTCTTTGTGCGTTGGCGAGTACTGTGACATTTCAATCCGGTTTTTAATGTTACAGTTAAAAGGAAGTGTTCTATTTATGTGTGTATTTAGTTTTTATTTTTATTCTTTACTTATTTATTCACATTTATTTATTATCATCTCTCAGAGTTTTCATCAATTGACTATTTTCTATATTTCTGACTGTATTGTCTTTTTACACACGCTTTTTTTCTAGTGGGAAAATATTTGCAATTAAGGTCACACGATCGGTCTTGCTGTTGCGCGCAACTTCGTAAATTGGACGCGAGAAACACCATCCCCCCCCGTGTTTCTTGACGATGGCGAGTATAGATACTGGCTAATGAAGACGAATTATGTACAATATGAACGTTCGATGTTGAATCGATACGTCACGCCGGTATCAATGGATAAACAGTTCCCACACATGCGGAGAGTTTATACTGAGCCACCCCACGTATGCGCAAACAGTTACGCTTTCGTGAAACGAGCGTGTATTAAGTACACATATCGTTGTTTGCTCAATAACGACATACACAGTGCTCTCTTCTCTCACCGTGGAAATGTACTACTGCGATATTTTTATCAAAAAAAAAAAAAAAAACAATCCGAAAAGGTAGAAACTCAAGATAAAGTGTAAAAACATATGCGCTTTTTTAATCTCAGCTTCAAGGAAAAATGCAAAAGTGTTTAAAAAGTAAAAATAAATAATAGGTATACACACATACGTATACGAATAAAAACAATAATAAAAACAATAGATTTTTATATATTTTTACACGTGTGCATTTAAAACGTTTCGGTTTTCAATTCTTATATGTTATAATTTATAAAGAAACTATTGTAAGAAGTAAGAAAATAATGTGACAAAAAATACTGCGCGAACTTTTCCTCTCTTTGCTCAGCTGCACTTTCACACGTGTTTGCTTATTTTAATTAGCGACTGGTTTTTTCTCGATCTCATTGATTTTCTTTCTTACTTATATTTTTATTCATTATTATTATTATTATTATTAACTTGGCGAAAAGTGAATTAAACGACATAAAACTTGCTTCGCGCGCTCTTCGATTTGTGAACTCTTGAGATATTCATTTATGAAATAGCACAAAACTCGTTACAGTTATTCGAGGAAAGTTGACTCCTTATTCATTTATGTAAAATACTTTGTAGCGCGCTCAGGATTAATAATATTGCGCGGCAACGCGAGTTGAGCGACGAGAAACTTTGTAATCCAGTAGCCGTGTGCATTTACACAAGTGCAATCTAATTTATCATTTCGCATCGAGGACGCGCTGAGAACGTGAGCGCGAACCGGACGCAAATATTGCGAATCGTTTCCGCAGTTCTCAATTTATCATTTTCCTCATTTCTCGACTTTCCACGTCGGACAATACACACCTTTTCAGATCGATCGATCGAATAAGCGAGCGAGCGAACGAACGAGCGCGGACAGACTTTAACGCGTGCACTTCGTCGAATTCATCGGAGACCGACGCGCGTCGTCGTAGCTGTTGTCGGTAGTTTCCATTTGACACGACAATGCGGTGCTAGTCGAAATGGGGATGCGATCGCGTATGCAGAGTATGCACACGATACCCGACAACACCATCGGCATTCATCGGGAAAAGACGACGCGGATTCTACACGTGCAATTTCGCGATAAAACCTCGATGGAAAATATTGAATGACGCACCGGGGGGGAAAAAAAAAACATCGTTCTTCGACGTACCTCGCTCTTGCATCCTCGATAATTTGACTAAGAACAAGCAAACTCGTCAAAATGACGATGAATTTAATAAAAAAATTTCTCAGATTTCTTATTTTAAATTACGGCATTGTTCTTTAAAAGTAGAATTTTTAACTCTGGTTTCTTTCAGTGTTAAAAGAATCGCGATAACGTAATGTGTACGCGCATTTTATGATGTGTGTGTTTTTCACCGAGATTCTTTCTAACAGACGCGCATTAGGACCCGAGCATTAAATTTGACATCTCTGTGTGTGATCTCTCGCGCGACGAAATGGACGGAAATGGAACCGCAAATTAAAATTATCTTAAGCGTAAAAAAAAAAAAAAGAAAAAACGAATCTTCTTATAATTCCATCGGTGAAAAGAGCTCGTTATTTTTCTCACCCGAAATATCGAATTAACGCGCGCCCCGAACAAAAGCGCCGGCCGCTGTGCGCGCGCGGGATTTCGCGTTCGAATGTATTCCGAGATACCCGCTGTTTTCTCTCTTTGTGCGCGTTTCTTCCTTCTCCCGGCGCGTTCTCTTCTTCCGCGCGCGCCGAGAGAACGCGCGCCGGTGTCCTTTCCCTCGCACTTTGGCGCGTATCCATCGGGCGCGACCGACGAAATCTTATTAGCATGAAAAGAGCTCTCGGGGATTTCATCAGAGCGGAGACGAGTTATCCGGAGACCGGAGTCACCCTTCGCCGCGAGCGAAAAGAGAGAAAGAGAGAGAGAGAGAGAGAGATGTTCCCTCGATCGATTATCCTCGCGAACATCTCGTGTCCGGACGGAAACTTTTCCGTCGGCTGATTAACGAAAGTCCGCGAAACTCCGCGAGGAAGTTTTTTTTTTTTGTGAAATAAAAGTATTATATGTTATAAAAAAAAAAAAAAAAAAAGAAAAAAACTCAAGAGAATGTGCAGTGAGTTTTCAGTTGTATAATAAGATGTATAGAAAACAAAGTTATTCCAGAAATATTTTTGTATCCATTTTCAAGAGAATTGTGCGCGCACTGCGAAAAAAAAAGAGAAAGAGACAAAGTAAGAGAGAAAGAAAGAGAGAGAGAGAGACTTGGACTTTAATACGAATTTAACAAGATTGTTAAGAAAGCGGTCGTCCGATCCTAGAATTCCTCCTCCGTGAACACGGAGGACGTCGCGCAAGAACTCTCTTCTTTTAAAGCTCACACATATACACAGTCTCCTATAAACACGGACTTAAGAAACATGACGTTTTCCGCAACTTCGCCGAATAGAACTTGTTTAAAATCCCACTCCTTCCCTCCTCTCCCCGTCCCTCTCCAGACAGTCAACGCGAGCGAGTCGAAAGCGAAGAGAACGCCTCGCGCAGGTAGTTGTTTCCGCGTAGAGGCTTACCGACTTTTCTTGTCGTCGTCGTCGTCGTCGTCGTTAATTGGCCGGGGAGAGTCGATCCGGACTTTGTCGTCGGCTACACCAATAGCAATAAACGGGAGTAAAAAGTCGGGAAGAGGTCGAGCGCGCACACGTTGGGATCTCCCCAACGTCTTCAAAACACGCGCGCTGACATATATAAACGCCGCATTACGATTCGCGGAATAAAAAACAGACGGGGGGGGGGGGGCGCAGCTGTGGGTTTTCACTCGCGAAACAGAAAGAAAGAAAGAGATTGCCGAGAGGAGAGGCTTTCATCACGCCGGATGAAAGCTTCGTTAAAATCCTAACGAAGAGCACGCGAAAGCTTATTAAATCTGGCCGATGCTTTTCAGCGAACGCTTTTCAGAAAATACCGTATTTACAGGGGCAAACGGTAACGAACGAGAAAAAAATGGAAAGACGTTTTCTTAGGGGAAACCCCGGACGGCTCTCTTGCGTCGGTTGATCTCGGCGGGCGGCGAGGCGTGTGGTGCGAATGGAGTGTACCGACGAAAACAAGAATAAAAAAAGAAAAAAAGAAGAACAAAATCAAACACACACACAGACACGTACACACACACGCGCAAGTCCCGCAGCGGCGATATTTCTATATCGACCGTATGATGGAGCCGATTAATTTCGCGATTATTTCCGCGATCGCGCCCGGTCCACGATCCCGCGGCCGCTTTCAATTTACATCGAAACGAGCGTGCGTTTCTCTCGCGACGTGTGCGAGACGAGACCACAAAAGCAGATCGCCGCAAATAATGGAATCGTGTCCTTTGCGAAGTTTCGACCGCCGCGTCACGCAGCGCGGATTAATTTTTGATTGAACCCGGACGGAC